GGGGCAATATGCTGACTCTGTAAACCGCTTAGAGAGGGCTGAAAGCCCTATGAAGCGGTATATAAGTCTAACTGCTATTGCTATTACTATTGCTACTCCCAAAGGTATGGGCCTATTGGTGGGCGGCTGGCAACATTCGCAAGCCAATGGGCAGAAACCACCTAGGATACTTGGGTGATTCAAACTGTGAGGCTGGGCCTCACTCTGGAGTTTCTCTCAATTCCCCCGAGGCACTTCATAAAGTGTCCCATCCCCATGTGTCAGGTGAAGCAAGGTCTCATGCACCTGGAGATCCACCACCTGTTATCCATCGACGCCATAGAACCAGTACCGCAGGGACAGGAAAGGCTAGGATTCTACTCAATGTTGTTCCTAGTTCCCAAGTTTTCAGGAGAATGGAGAACCATTCTAGATTTAAAGAGACTGAATCTTTACATCAAATACCAAAGGTTCAAGATGCAGTCTCTCAAGAGCATACTGACCAGCATCAGACAAGGCGACCTGATGACTTCAATCGATAAAAAAGAAGCTTATCTACATGTGCCCATACACGTGGCACACAGGAAATTTCTGAGGTTCCACTTCGCGAGTCATCACTTTCAGTACAAAGCCCTGCCATTCGGCCTCTCATCGGCCCCACGACCCTTTACCAAACTGTTGGCAGCGATAGCCGCATACCTCCGCTCACTCCCGTTCAGAGTGAATTGTTAGCTCGGCGACATCTTGCTCCTTTCATCATCGCACTCCCAGGCAGTTCGAGACCTTCAAACGACCATCAATATTCTGCAGCGCCACGGTTTTGTACTGAATCTTCCAAAAAGCCACCTTCAGCCAACCACGAGACTCATACATCTCGGGACTTTGATAGACTCTGTCACATGCAAGGTGGCACTGTCCCCGGAACGACGCAGCAGCATCATGTCGCTGGTGAGTCACATTCAAAGTCAAAGGTTAATACCACTAGCGGTACTTTCCCAGCTCCTGGGAAAGATGATTTCATGTATAGACATTGTTCCTTGGTCCTGCTTCCATGCTCGCCCTCTCCAGTGGTTCCTTCTCCTATTTCAGAGGGCACACACCAGCCACTCTCAAATCAAGGTGCAAATACAGTGGGGCCAAAAAGTATTTAGTCAGCCAGCAATTGTGCAAGAGGCCTATAATTGACATCATAGGTAGACCTCAACTATGAGAGACAAAATGAGAAAACAAATTCAGACAATCACATTGTCTGATTTGGAAAGAATTTTTTTGCAAATTATGGTGGAAAATAAGTATTTGGTCAATATCAAAAGTTCATCTCAATACTGTGTTATATATCCTTTGTTGGCAACGACAGAGGTCAAACAGTGGGGTGTGGGAGGAGTCACTGAATGGGTATTGTTACGGCCCAATTGCCTGGAGACTGAGGTAAATCTGAGGACACTCCCTCTGTTCCTCCTTGTGACTCCCCAGATTAACCTCAGTCTTCGGCCTAACAGCCTAACAGGAGCTATTCAGTGACTCCATGAATTTTATTTTTTCTAGTCCTTTTGTTTTTTACAGATTTTTATTAGGATTCTAGCCTTTCTTTTTACTTTTCGGCTCTCCTACCTTGGCTTCCATGCCCTTTTTCCTGCCCATGCACGAGCAGCGCTCGTTGCAGCCTTGCAGGCCCCGTACCACCGGCACCCGGTGGAGGGGGAGCAACGCCCGAGCCTCGCGAGATGCTGCTGTCCGGATAAGGAGCAGATGGATCCACGAAGACTCCGGAGGCAGTGAGACGAGGAAAAAGCGGTTCAACCGGAATCGCTTCAGGCACTCGGACCGCGTGATCGGCAGTCGCCATCTTGAGGGCCAGGGCGCATGCGCAAAGCACCAGAGCGAGCTGCTATCAGTCGCCACAGCTCTCTAGCACCGCAGGATGCAGAGGATCGTCGGGCCTGAGCTCCGTCCGGGGAGGGCCCAGCGCAAAGCAGTGCAGCGGTCTCTGTTTGACTCGCAGGTCGGCGGGTGGCTGAGAAGAGTGCGGATCCGAAGGAGCGCCAGATCCGTGAAGCTCTCCCCGCAGGCCCCCTACTCTAGTGGAGGAACCTGGCTCTACAGGTCCAGGGAGGCATTCGAGGGAAGGCAGCCCCTTGTCCCCTCCTCTATCTCCTTCTCACTCCCCAAGGGCGAGGGGGGATCCATTTGGCCGTAGGGCAGTGGGTTCCCCCAGGCAGCGCTTGGCCGCTCAGGCCCCTGAACCCAGGGACAACAGGGATCCACCAAGCCTCTCCCCTGCCTACCCAGAGCTGTCTGAGAGTTTCCAAAACGTATTGGTCAGAGCCATTGCAGATGGTATTGCCTCAGGAATGCAGCACCAGTTCCAGGGAGCCAGGCACTGGTCTACCTGTGGGGCCCCATGGGACCACACAACCATACCAGAGTCCCCAGCCCCCAGGGACTCCCGAGCCTCCTCACCCTCCACTGCGAGCGAGGGCTCGGAATCAGAGGGGGAGGAACAGAAGGATCTGGGGTTTTCAGAGGACGAGGACCCCTCAGCTCCATTGCAGGTTTATTCCCCCCTACTTTATTCAGTTCCCTGCTGCGCAAGGCCAAGGCCACAGCAGATCTGGATCCTCCCCCTAGCACTAGTGACGGGAAGAAGAAGCAGGGCCCCTTTCACAGGCCCCAGGTAGAGAAGGAGGAGATCCCTACTCCAGACATCTTCTTGGAGGTCCTCAAGTCCCAGTGGGCCAAGCCAGGCTCCTTCCCCACCCCAGGGAGTAACAATCACATGTTTTATAACCTCAGTGTATCTTTCACCCAAGCCTTGCAGGTTCCTCCCGTGGACGCCCCAGTGGCAGCCTTGGCCTCCGCCTCCACCATGGTAACAGGAGATATCTCCAGCTGCCTGAAGGCAGAGGACAGGAGAGCGGAGCTGGTCATGCGTAAGACCTTCCAGGCTGTCTCATGGGCGATCAAGGCGACGGCGGCCATATCTTTCTTTAACAGGTCCACCCTCTTGTGGCTGGAGCAGATCCGGGACAGGACACCCGCATCAGACGTGAGGCTGCTACAGGACATCATGAAGCTGATGGCGACCCAGTTCTTGGCAGATGCTACCCTGGACGCGCTAAAGTATTACTCCAGGGCCTTGTCATCCTCAGTGGCATCCAGACGTCTCCTATGGCTTTGTCACTGGCAGGCCGACTTCCGTGCAGAGTGGCACCTGGCGGAGGCGGAGTATACAGGCAACAAGCTGTTTGGACCCTCATTGGACCCTATCCTCGTCAAGGATAAAAACAAAAGGTCTTCCCGTCCACAGCCAGACGTGCGGACCACCCGGCGGCGCCTTACTCCAGGAGAGCCTCCTATCGACATCCAACAACAAAGGTACTCTGCTCCCAGGTACTCCAGACGGGAACAGGCAGTTCTCCAGGGACAGGTATAGACCCCACCAGGCTGGCAAGCGGCCCTTTCGAGGGGGGGGGGGGGGGGCTGCGATCCACCCAGGACCCCTTTACAAGCCCCCCCACCCCGGGGGGGGGGGGGGGGGGGCGGCCGTTTCTTTCGCAGGGGTAAGTGATTCGGGATTGGATCACCCCATCGCTGGTCGCCTCTCTTTCTTCACAGACCGCTGGGAGGGCATCACCACAGATGCCTGGGTCCTCCAGACCATCAGATCAGGACTCCATCTGGAGTTCCGTTCCCAACCCCCCCAGTAGATTCCATACCTGGTCAAGCGCGCCATCATGCACGAAGCTATTCTCCATCTTCTGGAGATTAATGCCATTGAGCCAGTTCCGGAGGGGGAGAAGGGGTCAGGGTTCTATTCTCACCTTTTCCTAGTCCCCAAGAGTTCGGGGGGGTGGGGTGGAGGGCCATCCTAGACCTCAAAACTCTAGAATTGTCTACCGGAAATTTAAGATGGCTTCCCTCAAGTCCATCTTAGAAGGGGTCAGGCAAGGGGACTTCCTAGCCTCCATTGACCTCACGGAGGCCTATCTCCACACGGGGAGTGGCAACTTCACCCCAGCATCTTCACACAGATCTGCCAGAGGTTCGGCCATCCGACGGTGGACCTCTTCGCCTCTCCGTCGAACGCTCAGTTTCTGAATTTCATATCCCGGTTCCCAACCCGGGGGGCAGTGGACACCGATTCCCTACACTGCAGATGGCCGACAGGTCTTCTGTACGCCTTTCCTCTGCTCCCTCTCGTTCCCGGGGTCATGAGGAAGCTAGTGGTAGAGAGGGCAGAGATCATTCTAGTAGCCCCTCACTGGCCACGACGGCCCTGGTTTGCGGATCTGGTGGAATTGTCGGTCCACCCTCCTTGGCGTATCCCACAGGGGGAGGTGGATCTGTGCCAGGGGAATCTGATCCACCCAGACCCGGAGTGGCTCAATCTGACCACTTGGCGCTTGAGCGGGAGCAATTGAGGGTAGCTCAGATCTCCTCTAGAGCTATCTCCACCCTTGAGGCTTCCAGGGGCACCAAGGTCTCTGCTACCACCATCAGCAGGTGGATTAGGTTAGCCATTTCCAAGGCTTATGAGGCCCGAGGGCTACCTGTCCCACAGGGCATCACGGCTCATTCCACTAGAAGCGCTGCCACTTCAGCGGCCTGGGCCACCCAGGCTCCCATCGAGGACATCTGCAGGGCTGCCGCCTGGTCCTCTCCTTCACCCTTCATCAGACATTACCGGCTAGATACGTATGCCTCAGCCGAGGCATCCTTCGGGAGGCGGGTCCTTCAGGGTGTCCTGGA